TTAGAACAATTTCTATCCAAAATTTACCATATCCTCCTAAATTCCAACTGTCTCACTCACTTTGACATGTGCATCCAATCCTTTTCATGCCTTGATCTTTCTCTTTGCACTCCTACCTCATAGAAACTTCCATTGATGAAACAGTTTCACTCTAGTGATAATGTCCCTATTCTTTCTTCAACATCTTATATCCCACTCCCCAACCCCCCTCTCTGGTGCTTTGATAGATCAGACTGGGATACCTCTACCTCTGTCTCTACTCTTTACCTTCCTTCATCATCCTTCTCTTTCACCTCAGAAATGCTTCAATACTAAACGCAGTCTATAAAACCATCCCTCAAACCTTCCAACCTTGCACTTCTAAATGTGTTCCATGGTGGAACCTTGAATGTACAAAAGCGCTTTTGTTGAAGCATGCAGCTTGGAACAGCTACTGTTACAAGAGAGGCACCCCCAGTCAACTAACAGCCTTTATATCTTTTGAAAAAGCATCAGCCCAACTTTGCCATACAATCTGTAATTCTATGACAAACAGCAGGCAAGACTATATGTCCTTAACATCCTCTAAGCCAATCTCTGCAGTCTGGCTGCAGGTCCATAAGTTATCAGGAAAACATCCTCCTTATCCCACCCCTTTCCTTCATATTCCTTATAACCTTATCTCTGACCCTCTTCAAGTAGCTACTGAACTTGATGTCTTTTTTAGTGAGGTCAGTAGTGGCTCTCACCTTTCTCCTCACTTCTCTTCCATAAAATCAGACAAAAAGCTTATTCCCATCTCCTTCTCCCTGTCATCTGCATAATCTTATAATGCACCCTTTTCTTCTTCTGAAATCTATAATGCACTACAGTCATGCCTCAACACCCATAAAGGCCCAGACAATATACATTACCGTATACTATGATACCTTTCACCCAGTTCCTTATCCTTCCTTCTTTCAATATCAATCAATCAAGGGGCTAACGCTGACGGGGGCGCATAGCCGCATCCACCCTTCGCTTCCAGCCACGAGGATCCCTCATGGCAAGACTCCAGGCAGGGACTCGGCCCATCTCGAGTTCTTCACGACAGGTTTAGTCGATCTGCCCAAGCCATGAATTCCTAGGTCGTCCCACAGGCCTCCTCCACCCAGGGTTGTCTCTAACAGAGACTACCTGATGAGCAGGATCATCCTGAGGAAAGCGAGCCAAGTGGCTGTATAGCCTGAGTTGGCAATCACGGATTGTGCAGATAATAGGTCCTGTGCCAGTCTCACGGTGCAACCGTTGGTTGGACACATGGTCTTGCCAACAGTACCCCACAGGCCTCCTCCACCCAGGGTTGTCTCTAACAGAGACTACCTGATGAGCAGGATCATCCTGAGGAAAGCGAGCCAAGTGGCTGTATAGCCTGAGTTGGCGATCACGGATTGTGCAGATAATAGGTCCTGTGCCAGTCTCACGGTGCAACCGTTGGTTGGACACATGGTCCCGCCAACAGTACCCCATGATCCGGCGCAAGGACCTATTACAAAAGGCTTCAAGACGAGCCTCCAAGGCACAGGATAATGTCCAGGTTTCACTACCGTACAGCAAAACTGGCATTATCAGGGCCTTTCAATATTCAATAGCATATTGATGATTGGAAACTTTCTTCTCCACTGGAGAGAAGCCATAGTACTACCTTTCTTAAAACCAAACAAAACAGGTACCCTTCCTCAAGAGTTGCTGCCTCATATCCCTTACAAGTTGCCTATGCAAATTAATGGAACGGATGATAAACTTCAGACTAATGTAGTACCACGAGTATCACAAAATCATTTCTCCAAATCAATTCGGATTCCATTGTGGCAGAAGCACAGCTGATCCACTTGCCTATTTAGAAACACTAATCGCATCAGCATTTGCACGCAGTGAGTCAGTATTTGCTGTCTTTTGATACCACATGGTGGCACCATATACTACAACAGTTATCTTTCCATGGCATACATGGAAACACGAGTGTTTTTATAGAATCCTTCCTCTCTGACCGTACCTTCCATGTCAGATTTGTCTCTTCTACTTCCTCCTCTTTTCCTCAATTCGGTGTCCCACAAGGCAGTGCACTAAGCACCACATTGTTCCTCATAGCTGTAAACAGATTAGTTTCAGTTTTACCACCAAGAATCCAATCATCACTATATGCAGAAAATCTTTGCCTCTGGCTACCAATCACGGCTTTCAATTTTCTACTTCTAAAACCTTCTCGATTCTATTCTCTCATTCACGTATAGGCTCCCAACCTCCACTCCTCCTTTATGATACCCCTATCCAATTCCGATCTTCCAGCAAGTTTCTTTGTGGTATTTTTTACTCCAAGCAATCTTGGTGAGATCATACCCTCTGCATTAAAGAAAAAGCCCGCCATCGCCTTCGACTCCTACAAACCCTCTCTCACGTATCCTGGGGTTCAGACTGCAAAACATTCCTCCATCTCCACATTACCCTAATCCTCTCCACCCTTGATTATAGCTGTCATATATATTCTTCTGCCTCTGCCTTTCTTATTTCTCAGTTTGACCCAGTACACCATTGTGATCTCCACTTAGCCTTAGGAGCCTCTCCAGTTGAGAGCCTATACACTGAATCAAGACTGCCATCCTTCTCTCGACGATGCACTCTTCTGTCTCTAAGAAGCTATGCTTGTTTCCACCAATTTTCTCTCTCCAAGCTAACTGTCCCTCAACCCCTTCTTCATACTTTTTCTTCTTCTCCATGTTTACCTATCCCTTTCCCTGTTCATATGGACTCTCTTCTTTCCCATTCATCCTTCCCCCATCTCCGAACTCTTCCTCTCTCTGCCCAAACTTTCCCTCCCTGGCTAATACCTACCTCTTGTAATTGCTCTTCGAGTTTCCCTGATCTACCAGTCAAACTTTCCACCTGTCCTCCTCACACATTTTCTTGTACATATCTAGTCATTCCTCCAGTACTCATATCTATACTGACAGCTCTAAATCCACCTGAGCTTTCCTCTTCCACCTGAATCGAGTGTCCTTACAACAGAATTATTTGCTATCCTCTTTGCTCTACAATGTATGTCTCTATCTCTTCCTCATCCTTCACCATCTTCACTGGCTCATGGAATTCAATATCATTCATACAATCCATACACTCTTTCAACCTTACAGCCCATAAGATACAGGACCAGCTGTGCCATCTGTCTACATAACAGAAAGCAGTGACTTGGCATTATCTTGCCCACAACTCACCAATCCAGCTTTTCATACATCCCAGCCACCGACTACTACCCCCACTTCAAAACTTTCCTATACAACCGTTGGCAATCTTTCTGGTCAGGTCTGAACACCAATGAACTTCAAACTATAAAACCTTCAATCTCTCCTAGGTCAGCTTCATACCATCAGAACAGATGTTAGGAAACTGCCCTGGCCCATTTGTGAATAGGTCACACCTGACTCACTCACTCACTCATACCTCGTATCACACTCCTCTAACCTACCTCTATGCCCTACATACAATGTCCTTTTTGTGTCCCACACATCCTACTATCCTGCCCCTGCTTTACTGAAGCCTGTACCTTTACTTTCCCATACATATCCCTTCTTCCCCAAACCCCCAACCAAATGATGACTTTTGGTGGAGTGCATTTGTCCCTACTGGGTTTATAGTCTTTAATGATATTCTTAAGGTGAATTGATGCAATGTTATGAAGTTAGAAATTGTACTTCTGTTATCATTATTACATATTCTGATTATTATTTTTGTGTGTGAATTTAGAATACTAATAATGAAAAATCACAACTATCAATAAAAAAATATAATTCAGGTAAAGATGTTTATTATTCTATTGTGCTGTAGCATTGCATTAACATTTCTTTTATTCTTTTAAAGGAAAGAATGAAGGGATGCTGAATTGGACAGCAAGATGAGTGGGAGCAAGTCATTCACACTTAATGTTAGCTCCAAGGTAGGATCATCAGATTATTGAGAAATAGAAAAGAAAAAACATTATGAAATATATTGTTGACAAGGTTTCAACAAATGTGAGAAGACTTTGGTATAACTTGTTTTTTATAATTTGTTTCATTCTAAAGGTAGCCGTTGCTACTGCCTTGGGTGCAGGTGTTGTGGTCGGGGCAGGGTTGGCCTATGTCATAAATCGGGTCAATGAACACACTCACCTCACCCAACAAATATCCAGCCTACATGAGACCATCTTACAAGTCAGAAGGGATTTGGCGTCTTTAGAAACTGGTAAATTTTATTGTAGTTTTCTTATATTCTCATTGCATGGAAATCATCCAACGAAAAAAAAAAAAAAAATTTGTTTTAGATACATGGTAATGAATGTAGAACTCTTGAAAGAGGCCTTATGATCAAACAATATATCTCTGCATAATGGTTTTGACATTTGAAGACATTTTATACTCATAATTTTTATCAAGATTGATAACAGTGCAGCATTGTGATGAGTGTTCTTTTATGTATTACCCTTATTTTATGTATTATCTTTATCTTTATCTAGGGAATTTTTAAATTTCGATTTTGTTTTTTTAGGGGAAATATTTTACTGAGACTGGCAGTGTCTGAAAAAACTTTTTTTTCATATACATGTTCGTTTTACAAGAAGCACAGGAAAAAAAAAAAAAAAATGCTTCCAACATTCCCTAGGCATTTTATTTATCCATTTAGATATGTTTATGAATAAAATTTGTGTCTGCTACGGCATTTGAAATAAATAAGTATACTTCTGAAATAATGGGTTTTGAAGTTTTTTCCCCTTTTTAGCCTTTTTTTTATATGAGCAATAAATGGGAGAAGAATAATCTTTCTAACATATAATTGTCTGTCATGTACCTGCATTCCAAAGTCTTGCAGAAATTGTCAACATGTAACATTGTCTCAAAAAACTCCTTTTACTGATGGTAGGGTCCAGCTAATTTGAAAATTTCTCTAAGATCCCCCAAAATAATACAGCTATTCAGATTTTGTATCTGAATAGAAAAATCTTTCAACTA